CTCTCTTGTCAGTTTTAGTATTTTGTCTTTATCTGTGGTTTTGGTCAATCTGGCTATGATGTGCCTTGGAAAAGATCTTGGGTTGAATCTATTTGGGGTCCTTTGTATTTCTTGGATCTGGATATTTAAATACTTCTTTAGGTTTGGAAAGTTTTCTTCCAGGATTTCATGAAATTGATTATCAATGCCCTTGTTATTTTCTTCGCCTTCTAGGATACCAATTATCCAGATGTTTGGGCCCTTAATGGTATGTAGTATTTCTCATACATTGTCCTCAATCTTCTTGGCTATTTTCTGTCTTTTTGGTATCTTTTTCTAGATTCAAAGTTTTGTCTCCTACATCTTCTGAGTGGGCCCTTAATGGTATGTAGTATTTCTCATACATTGTCCTCAATCTTCTTGGCTATTTTCTGTCTTTTTGATATTTTTTTTCTAGATTCAAAGTTTTGTCTCCTACGTCTTCTGAGTGCTCTAATCTGCTTTTAATACTTTTGAGAGAGATTTTATTTCCTGTATTAGTCTTCATCTCTAACAATTCCACTGTATTCTTTTTTATGATGTCTATTTCTTTCACATTGTGACAGGACTTCCTCATCTCCTGGAGCTCATCTTTTCTTTTCTCTCTCATCTTCTGGAGTTCGTTGTGTCTTTTCTCTTGCATCTCATTTTGTTTTGTCACTATAATTATTCTGAATTGTTTATCTGAAATTTCCACGAGTTCCATAGTATTGTCTGTGATGATGAGGAATTGATATTTTCCCTTGGGGGGGAGAGATATTTTCTTTGTTTCTCATATTTTTTGTGCTTCTGTGATTTCTAGTCATCAGGTGGATTATATATTTCTTCCTAAATTCTTTAAGTTAGTTCTGTGTTCAAATGTGGGCAGGAGAAGGTGATCAGCAATCTCTCTGTTGCTCTACCTCCCTGATGCTTACCCAGCAACCTGTATTGTTTCTGGACCTGGATAATTCAAAGTCTTCCCAGTTTCTAGAGAACAGATGTACCTGGGGCTGAGCTGCTGTGCTTCAGTTGAGGAAGGGGTCATGCAGCACACAAGGTACTGCAGGAAATGTTGAAGTCTGAGGCTTCAGAAGCGTTTGTCAGGGGATGAGCCACAGTCTCTCTGCAGGTCAGTGTCCCTGTGGCTCAGTGCAGCCAGGCCCATCATTGGGGCGGATGTCCTAATGGCGCAGGGGGTGGGAAAGAAGGGCTTCTCCATGTCCCAATTAACACACTTGAGAGTTCAAAGGGGAGTGGGGGAGGAGATGAGCCATGCTTTGCAGAACAATCTCCCAGCCAGGAATGGCAAATGGCTCACTGCACAGCAAGGCCCCTTGCTGGGATAGATGTCCTGATGGCCTCTATTTCTTTTCTTTATAAAATTTTCCACTTCTCTCATTCTTCTTGGTTTCTAGAATCTAGTCTGACAATTACACAATTAGTAATTATTTTTAAAGAAAAAGAAAAAGAAAAGAAATTTACAGTTAACTATAAAAATATGCCACTATATCCAGTGCTAAGTGCTAAATAGATAAAATAGAATTTGAATGGTCTTTTTTTTGCTTTTCTCTTTTACCTATTCCCCTAGTGTGTGTGGCGTGTGTGTGTGTGTGTGTGTGTGTGTGTGTGTGTGTGTAATTAGGGCTACATTTGGTTTAGAACAGATGCAACAAAATCTTCTTTTTTATCTTCTAACGTCCAGGCTCTGAGTTCCGCAACGAATTAATCTCTGATCATTCATTCATTCATCAAATTCTTATTGAACACAGTGAGCCTACCCAGCTCTAAATATGGAGGACAACAGTGCCAATTGCAGAGAATTCCCAATCAACTTTACAAGACAAACATTAAACATAAAGAGCTCACTAGAGTTATTTTTAAACCATCACAATAAATACAGGGTACTATTCCTGGAGCTTCTGCAGGGGGTGGGGAGAGCTGGAGGAACAGCAGAGGCCACAGACTGAAGGTAGTGGAGGAGGAAGGGCCAAGGGAAGCATGTATGATTGAGGGAACAGCATGCTGACGTCTGTGAGGAAGAGAGAAGCAAGTGCCACTGAGGACTGTGAGATTCTGGAGGGGCTGAGCATCCCAAGTGGGGAGGAAGGAGACTAGGCCATGTCCAGTTTGCATGTTTGTATGAAGTAAGTTTCAAACAGGTATTTAGAACTTTAGCCTAAAGGAAGTGTGAAGTCACTAAAGCCAGCCAATGCCACAGTTGGATTTTTTATTAACACTCTAACCATTTGAGGTGAGGGTGGGATGGGGTACTGTTAGGGTTGACTGGAGTTGGGCAGGAGAGGGAGGCTTAAACCACAATGTAGGAGGTAGAGATGGTGAGAAGCCGGTGAATTCCAGAACCGTTAAGTAGAAGCAAATGAACTCAGTGCTGGGGGTGGGGGAAAAAAAGGATCTGAGGGAGAAAGAGGAACTGAGGAGGATTTCCAAGGTCCCAATCGGAGCTCTGGTAGATAGAGGAGCCATTGCTACTTTTGAGAAGAGGATCTGACTGGAGGATAAAGATCCTGAGTTGCTTTGTGCTGGGAGTGGGGTGGCTGTGAGATGTCCCAGAGAAGGAGCATTGGGTCTGGACCCCTCCTGAGCAAACTGAGCTGCCGCAGAAGTTTGGGAGCTGCCGATATTCAGATGGTGAGTGAGGCCAGGGCTAGTACTAGGAGTCCCTAGTGGGGATATTTGAGGATCTGAGGACTTCCAATATGGGAAATGTGAATCGGAAAGAGCCTGCAGCTGCAGCAGAGCTGAGGTAATCTAAGGAGCCATTGGGGAGCCAGTGGCCATGGCAGGGAGCAGGCCCTTGAAGTGGAGGATGCTGTGTGGTGTCCACCATGGCTAGAAATCCAGTTGCATCAGCACTGTGTTGGCACAGAGCAGGACCTTAGTTCGTGGGTATCAAATTTTCTCTCACTTCTATCCAAATGTGCTCGGACCTCGGCTGTGAATGCTAGCTTACCCACTCTTTTCTTCCGTGAACTCATTAGTCAGCAAAGCTTCCGGTTTCACTAGGGTTTGGGGGATGCTGACATCATACACTGCTTTTCTTCTGGAATAGGGCCATATGGACTACTTTCATGGAAACTTTAACTTAGGGGAAGATGAGGTTATAAAATCAGAATAAAGACCTGGGAACCAAAAGGATACCTGGATTGAGAGGCCCCGGTCAGGCAGCATCAGCAATGTTCCTATGCCTGTTGTTTCTCTGTTCAAGTCCTTTATGCTAAATTTGAACAAGACACATCTGTGCTGAAGTGCTGAGGGTTTGGCCAGTCCTTCCAGTCCACTGCATATTAGGGTGTCGCAGACTCTGCCGGACAGCACATGAGGGGCCGTGCTCCGTCCTGAGCCTCTCACATCCGAGTGCACGTGTGACTGAGTAAGGGGCCGTGCTCCGTCCCGAGCCTCTCACATCCGAGTGCACGTCCGACTGAGTAAGGGGACTGAGGGAGTCAGTGATATTTTCAGCAGTGCAATGGCAGATCCCGCTCCTTTATGGTTGACGGGGTCTTATTAGCTGAATGCTTCTGCTCTGAGGCTATTTTCTCAGAGGTCTGGGGCATGAAATTCCCCTCTTCCTCAGTATCCCACACAAAATCCTTATTCCTTGAAAAGAAAAATATATGTATTATTCCTAGGCCTATGATTTTATTCCTTAAATTCAATTTTAAGATCCAAATCAAGTTATTTACGGCATGGAATACTGTTGCTGGCTCCTTTTTATCCACTGTACTGAAATGAGTATGCTCCTGCGTGATAGCCTTCCTTTTCCACGTCGGGTACCCACGCGAGGTCCTTGGTGGGGGCGGGCACAATGTCCTTTGTACTGTGGCTGGTTGTGTTTGCTCGGATGCACGCTGAGTTAACTTCGTTGGACTTTCCCCAGGAATTGATGCGCGTACTCGTGGTGGGTCATTATGCTGCTGCACCTGTGTAGTGTGAAGGTCAGTGTGCTTTTCTGATTATAAGAAACCATCCATATCATTCCATTATAAACCAACCCCACTCATAATGGAATGTGCCTCAGCCCACAGTCCGCCGCGGTCACCTAGGCCAGGAGTTATGACAGTGTGGCCCAGACATTTGAGGTCCATCACCCACCCCTCCCCACCACCTGCATCCACCCCTGAATTTGTGCTCCATTTAAATGATGTTCTTTGCATGTCAAGTCCCTTTTGTGTGATGTGAATGTATAATTGTCACAAGTGAATTTGTACCTGGAAATAAACACTCCACGATGAAACTTCTAAAATTGCAGATGAGAGCTGCATTGGGCCATGGGAATTGCCCTACAGTTAATACAAACACGTGGAAACATGCCTTGAGATAAGAGCAAAACAAGACACATCTGTGCTGAAGTGCTGAGGGTTTGGCCAGTCCTTCCAGTCCACTGCATATTAGGGTGTCGCAGACTCTGCCGGACAGCACATGAGGGGCCGTGCTCCGTCCTGAGCCTCTCACATCCGAGTGCACGTGTGACTGAGTAAGGGGCCGTGCTCCGTCCCGAGCCTCTCACATCCGAGTGCACGTCCGACTGAGTAAGGGGACTGAGGGAGTCAGTGATATTTTCAGCAGTGCAATGGCAGATCCCGCTCCTTTATGGTTGACGGGGTCTTATTAGCTGAATGCTTCTGCTCTGAGGCTATTTTCTCAGAGGTCTGGGGCATGAAATTCCCCTCTTCCTCAGTATCCCACACAAAATCCTTATTCCTTGAAAAGAAAAATATATGTATTATTCCTAGGCCTATGATTTTATTCCTTAAATTCAATTTTAAGATCCAAATCAAGTTATTTACGGCATGGAATACTGTTGCTGGCTCCTTTTTATCCACTGTACTGAAATGAGTATGCTCCTGCGTGATAGCCTTCCTTTTCCACGTCGGGTACCCACGCGAGGTCCTTGGTGGGGGCGGGCACAATGTCCTTTGTACTGTGGCTGGTTGTGTTTGCTCGGATGCACGCTGAGTTAACTTCGTTGGACTTTCCCCAGGAATTGATGCGCGTACTCGTGGTGGGTCATTATGCTGCTGCACCTGTGTAGTGTGAAGGTCAGTGTGCTTTTCTGATTATAAGAAACCATCCATATCATTCCATTATAAACCAACCCCACTCATAATGGAATGTGCCTCAGCCCACAGTCCGCCGCGGTCACCTAGGCCAGGAGTTATGACAGTGTGGCCCAGACATTTGAGGTCCATCACCCACCCCTCCCCACCACCTGCATCCACCCCTGAATTTGTGCTCCATTTAAATGATGTTCTTTGCATGTCAAGTCCCTTTTGTGTGATGTGAATGTATAATTGTCACAAGTGAATTTGTACCTGGAAATAAACACTCCACGATGAAACTTCTAAAATTGCAGATGAGAGCTGCATTGGGCCATGGGAATTGCCCTACAGTTAATACAAACACGTGGAAACATGCCTTGAGATAAGAGCAACGATTGATTGCTCCTGCTGACTGGGTAGGGGGGCCGGGGTGGGATCTGGCCTCTGGGAGGCTGCGGTAATTGGGCTCATTAAAACTGGTCTCTTGCTATTGGGTAGCTTTGCCTGGACACACTTCCCAGTTCCCTCAGACATCCTGTCAAGACTCTTTCCTGTGTTCCACGGGTTTATAAGTTTTGGTGACCTCCTGGTTGAATTCACATGTACGGGGCAGTATGCACCAGGGTTTGTGCTGAGTGCTCTCCTGCGTGAGCTCCTCTCCTGAGAGGTAGGTACGGTCATTGTTCCTGCTTTGTGAACGGAGGAGCTGAAGGAACAGGGGTGTAGAGGGTGGGGTTACAGCCCTAGAGGCTCCTGGTAGGTAGGTGAGCACGAATTCACACTGAGATCATTATCTGAACTGGTAGTATTCACTTAGCCAATCCTCAATGAGGCTTTTGTTTACAGAATAACTGAGAGCTCACCTTTGCATAGCACTTTGCAAATTTACTGAGCATCTCCACCAGTAGGTCTAGTTGATCTTTGAAATAACCCAGCAGGAAGGACAAAATGCTGCAATGCTCAGGGAGTGTTTGGGCACTTGTCAGCAGGCATTGGGGTGAGGACGGATTCACATTCACACACACAGTCATACACAAACACACATATGCACATACACATACACACACACACACACTCACACAGAGGCAATGTGTCCTTGTCTCCTTGTCACAGGGTTCTGCTGGAAGATTTATTTCTTGATTTCTTGATTTTTAATTTTTGCCATAGGGCAAGTCCGCTTGCTGGAGAGAGACAGAGAAAGAGACACAGAGAAGGAAAGTGAGCAATCACCCCCCCAGGAGCATAGCCATGCCATAGGTTCTTCTCCATTCTCCTCTTGGGATGTTGGGCACACACACACACACACACACACACACACACACACACATGAGCACCCAGCAATTTTTAAGCTAACAGCACACACACACACACACACACACGTGAGCACCCAGCAGTTTTTCAGCTAACGGGCTCAGAACTCAAACCACACAGTCGGCCATGTGGGATCCAGGAGCCTTACCTCCATGCCACCTGCTGACCTGGCAGCTTGTTGGTGGTTTTGAATAATGCACTTGGAGGATGAGCATGCTATGTGTTGGGTTTAGGAAATATTCAAGTAAAGCTTACTCCTGTGCTGCCAAGTGTCCAGGGACAGTCTTGGCCTCCAACTTTCATCTCCTTTTTCTGTAAGAGCATCCCAGTTTGTGGTGCCTTCAGAAGCCACGTCCTCTGTACATTTCCACACGTCAGAACATAGAAGAGGCTTTATTCCTCAGTTCCCTCGGCAACTTCGCCCTCCCGTCTTCCCCATGTGGGGAAGGCTTGACTTTCACTGGAAGAAAGGTTCTCCCCGGGCACTGCGGTCCGTTCTCTCACATTCCTCTTGGGCTTCTGCATTATTCTTAGGCTGTTAAGACATAGTGAGAAGTCTTTTAAAAGTACCAAGTAGGGTGGATTTCACATTTAGAGAGTATGTCCCCTCTTTCTTCTTTCTAGAACTCGTGTCCTTAGAAAGTTCTGTCTGAAAGAATCTCAGCTCATATGCATCTTTGGACTTAACCTTTGTCCTGAAATAAGACGCCCAGGACAGCAAAGCTAAATGTGTACGGGTCGTCATAGGGGATTTTATGCAATGATCCTGGAAACACGATGGGCAAATATTCTCCCTCCACATTTATGTGAGTCAGCTGTCACCGAGGAACACGACAGAGTAGGCTGCGATCCCAAATGCTGCCCCCAAGAACTTAGCTTGTGAAATACGAGCACAGCCATAGCCCTCTGCTTCACAGTGACACTGAAACCTGAAAGGACAGGATACAGTGACCTCATTCCAGGTTCCACCCAAGGCAAATGCAAAACTCCTTGCTTCAGACCCTACACGGTCGTGGAAGTCTATGGCCTCATAACTGCGTGTTTTTGCTTAAGCCTTGAAAATTGAAAATGACCCAAGATTTTTTACACTTTTCTAAAATATTTTTTAAGAAGATTCACCTTGCTCTGAAATGAGTCTGCAGCATTACTAGCTAGGTTTATAAAAATATCTGAAAATGAAGAAGGATCATTTCATTTCATGTATGTATACTTTCAGCTTCTGGAGAGAACTCGGCAGGGTGAATGAGGAGTTAGTGCTACAGCCTGTTGTTTCAACCAGGGGTGCATTTTAAACACCACGTGCAGCTTTGCATGTGGAGCCGGGGTATTCACACTCGGAAGATTTAAACAGGACTCCTCCCTGTTTGACAGCCACTGGATAAAACTGGTGGGAACTTCCAGGGCACATGTAGGGTGTGCCCAAGATTCCGAGAGGAGAACAGAGATCAAAGGATTTGGGCATGGTTGTCCTCCCAGGGGATGATTTCTCTCTGTCTCTTTTTCTTTTTTCTTCTCTCCCCCATCTATGGTGAGCACATGCATCATACAACAAAAACTAACACAAACAAACAAAAAAATGGTGAGAGCTAAGCTTGTGTATGTTCTAATTTGCCAAAGGACACAGGTACTCACCAGAGAGAACCAGTGAGGGAGGCGGGTTGTGAGGAAGCACACCCCACCCTGTCCATGGGGGATGGTCTCCCCTCAATTCACCTCCATTTCTCACTCCTTTCAAGATTTGGGGCATGCATGCACATCTGCCTGGTGTGTTTTTCAGGCCACTGGGTCTGAGACTCGAACCACACACAGTTAGCCATGAGAGATGCAGTGCCTTAACCACCATGCCACTAGCTGGTTCCAGGAACGAAGCTCTATGTGTCTGAAAAAGTGGAAGGAAAAGAAATCTGAGCTGCAGATCTTTATGCTATAGAGACAGGGATTTTGTTATTCAAAGGTGGTTTTCTGAGGCCTGTCAAAGGCCCTTTTTGAAAAAAAAATTAGAATTTAACATTACAGGGACACTAGGCTTTACAATGACGAGCATCTTTGTAGGTCCCCTGTTTCGTAGATGTTGGTTGTACACGAGAGAAGTCATGCTCATGAAAAGGCAAGGGAGGGAGGACTATGCTGGGGCTGCAGCCTGACCTCTTCCAGCCCCATGGCCCTCAGGGGGAGAGGCTGCCCATTCAGAGACACCCATGGAGTGGCAATTATAAGACCTTTGCACCCCACCTTGCTTGGTCATTGACCAGAGCACCCTAAGAAAACCAGGAGCACCCCTTAAACTGAGGTTTCCCTGAAGGAGCTGGAAGCAGGAAGCCATCAGCCGACCGCCTCCTAGCCCCTGGGCAGCGAGTCCTTTCCTAAGGAGGGATCCAAACAGCTCATCTCCATGTCTGCTGCATTCTCCGAAGACCATAAACTCAGTTCTGGACTTTTCAGAGTTTGGCCAGAAGCACAGGAAAAGGGGGGCAATGCCAAGGTGCAGTCCCTCGGAGAACTCAGTGCAGACGTAGGCGATGATGATGATGAAGTGCGGGAAATGGAAGACACGGGGAGAGAAGCTTGGCCCATTTGATTCCTCCCTGTGTCAGGGAACATGCGAGGTGGAGGAACTTGGAAGAATAGGGCAGCAGGTTGAGGGACTGTAAAAGCTTCTCATGTGGAAAGTGAGGCCCAGAGATGTCGCGTGTCACCCAAGGTCACCCAGAGACAAAGGGTCCCCTTAGGTCCAAGTCTGCTCGTGACTGTATGCCTCTCCTGGTACCGAATGTCCTCCTCAGTGCCTTCCTCTTGACCCAAACTCTGCACATTGAAAGAAATTGATGGTCCCATAACTTGAGTGCTTTGGCTTAACTCTTCCAAACTGAAAATGATCCCAAGGGTTCCTCCCCTTCCCCCACCCTGCCATGTCCTAGATACTTTCGTAATCTAGAATATATTTGAAGACAGAGATACAGACCCTCGGGCATCTGACTCCCACAGCCAGCTTCCCTAAACACCCACTAGGGTCTCTGTCTTGCCTCTTGGTGACGGTGTCATCCAGGCATAAACCGACAAAGTCATCAAAAGCCTTGATCTGACCCAACAGTGAGCACATTGTTAATTCTCTATACTTAGTGATCTGGGATCTCAATGGAAAGGCTGGCAGCTCTCCTCTTCCCCTTCCTCCTCTTATGGCCCTTCCTCCTCCTCCTCCTCCTCCTCCTCCTCCTCCTCCTCCTCCTCCTTCTCCTCCTCTTGCTGCTGCTCCCCCTCCCCTGCCTTGAGTTCTGGAGCCCCAGGCCACTCCACCACAGTAACTACAGAGGAGAAAAGAGAGAGGTCTCTCTGCCTCTGAAGCCACACTCCCTGGACCCCTCCGAGTTAGGGCCCTCACGGTATTCCACCTAGCTTTTCTGCCATCCCTGCCTGGAACTCAGCTTTCCTGGACTTCTGGAGATAAATAGTGTAGTCTGGCACGGCCCAGTGAGCTGAGTCATGCCCTTGGCAGGGTCAGAAAACTACCAGGAGACCAGTAACGCTGGAGGAGTCTCCCCCAGGAGTGTCTGCCTCTGCTGTGCCTTGTGGGTGATGGGTGCTACCCTATCCCCACCTCCCTCAGTACGCCAATCATCAGGGAGCCCTGGTTGCCCGCTGCTGCCTGCACCTGGGAGGAATGCCACCGCCAGCACTTCCCAGAGGGAAGA